GGAGTGTGAAAGCGGTCGAATTGCTCCTTTACGAAGAAGTTGCTGGACTTTGTCAACGAGAACTGTTAAGTAAGGCGTAAATCGGATTGGTCCCGATGGGGGCATGGTATCAAACTCAATTCTGTATCCATGCTGTATGATGGATAAAACCCACTGATCAGATGTGATGAACTCCCAGATGGGGAGTTGACTTTGAAGCCAATCCCCAAAGGGAAGAGGGGAAGGTAGGTTGAGGAGGAAAGGTTTGATCGTCCTGTCAACATTGACATTTGTCGAAGTCAGGATGACGACGGTTCTGTTGGAAGCGTTGCTTCCGACGTTGTGACCAGGGCTGGAACTGCTGATGGCCCGCAAATTGCAAGTATGGCTGGTATCTGTAGGACAGGCGAGACCAAGACCACTTACGGCGCAATTGATTCAGGACTTCCATCCGGCGAGCTGTAATCCTCGACTCATGGATAGTCTTCATCTTGTGATCCGTCCGCGCATTGAAGAGCCCTGAACTGTTGAAGGGCATCTCTTCAATCCGGCATTTCGTCACGTCCGGAAAGTTGCAGTTCTGGAGCCAGGCATGACGACAGAGGGCTACAGCACCAAGAGCTCTAGAGTCGGAAGTGACATGGTGTCTTGCAGTGGAAAGCTGCTGGACTGCCACCTGCATAGCCTCTATAATGAAGATTCTAGCCAGGTTTTTCTGCTGGTCTTGATGAGAAGCCGTAATATTTTCTAACTTCTTCATAATGAAGTATTGGTATTGGAAATGTGGAGGCCAAGTCTTGTAGTGACATTTTATTATTTATTTATTATTTATTTATTAAAACATTTTTATGCTGCCCCATTCGCCGAAGCCTCGGGGCGGCTTACAACAATAAATTAGATCCATTAGATAAATAAAAATTTAAATATATACATTAGAATAAAAAAATATACAATATAAAATAAGCCGCCCTGGCCAGATAAAATTCAATAATATTAACATTTAAAATGCTGCTTAAACAAAAAGGTCTTCACCTGGCGCCGAAAAACAAATAACGATGGCACCAGGCGGACCTCTCTGGGGAGCGCATTCCATAACTTAGGCGCCACCGCTGAGAAAGCCCTCCTCCGAGTAACCACCCTCCTAATTTCTTTCACGGAGGGCTCCCGGAGAAGGGCCTCTCCCACAGATCTCAGGGGGCGGCTGGGCATATATGGATGTAAGCGCTCCTTCAGGTAACCAGGACCCAAGCCGTTTAGGGCTTTATAGGTCATCACCAACACCTTGAATTGGGCCCGGACTTCAATGGGGAGCCAGTGAAGCTAACGGAGAACTGGAGTCATGTGAACATAACGTCCAGTCCCCGTCAGCAGCCTGGCAGCTCTATTTTGAACCAACTGAAGTATCCGGACCGTCTTCAAGGGTAGCCCCACGTAGAGCTCATTACAGAAGTCAAGACAGGAAGTCACCAGCATATGAGTCACTGTTGCGAGGCAGTCGTACTCCAGGTAGGGGCGCAGCTGATGAATCCAGCGAGCCAACATGTCGATCTTGCAGTCCTCTTTTTTGCAGGGGGTAGTGTGTCCCCTCGACTCACATTCTTGGGATGACACAACAACTATCGAGTTGGGTCTCGGATGATGGAGGAGAAATGGAATATTCTGCTTAAGGACTCGATACATGGCCTCATATCGTCGTGAAGTGGTTTGAGGCTGATTAGGATAGTTCCACGGTTCCATCACTGCCTGGCGAATAGTGGTAATAAGTGGCAAAAAGATGGCGGCTGACTGTTCACCTTTGACAATGTTGTAAAAATTTGTCGGTATTGGGATCGAAGCGGTGCTGGGCCTCGATCTCAAGTGATCTCATAAGCCTTGCCATCAGTTCCCCAAAGGTTACATAGGGTTCCTCCGGTGAGCTGGGACCCTGTGTCGAATTATTTTTTTTAGATTTATATCCTGCCTTTTTCCTACAAAGGGGTTAAGGCAGCTTACATCATTCTCCTCCTCCATCTTATCCCCACAACAACAACCCTGTGAGGTAGGTTGGGCTGAGAGTCTGTGACTGGCCCAAAGTCACCCAGTTGGCTCCATGGCTGAGCGGGGACTAGAACCCAGATCGTCTGAGTCCCAGTCCCATGCTCTTAACCACTACACCACACTGGCTCTCACCGAATCTGGTGAAGTCGATGCCACTTTGGAGTCCCCAGAGTCCAAATCGTAGTGAGGCAGGAGACTAGAAAAAGAATCAATAGGCGAAGTGGGATGCCTGGACTGAGTCGCTGTCAAGATCGAAGGAGCATCTCTTGGTACCGGAGAGAGGGTACAATTGCGCACCAATGGGTAGTAACTGTAGGGCAGATAATCATCCCATGGCTTGCGATGAGACGGCCTGTGGGGCAGCTGCACCCATTCTTCCGAGGGACGAATGGAGGCGCACTGCTGATATCGCTCCTGCTGAGCAGCAGCCCTCGGGAAAGGCTCGGGTGATGGTTGTGGAGTAAGTGAATGAGCCATTGGAGGAGAGTCTCAAATCTCTCCGTCGGGGATTGATCCCAGCAAGGGAATGTCCCGTTGCTCATGGGTGGACTGGACTGAAGGTGTAATCCGTCTGGGAGACCCAGGCGGGGTCACTTGCATGGCCAACTGGAGGGCTGGTCCGGTCAGCATTGGTACCGAGACAGCCTTCGGAATCGACGGGGCAGACGAACCCAAATCATGATGCCTGTGATGATTGGGTTTCTTAGGCTTATGAGCCGACTTCTCCGTCTTGTCCTTCTTAGGCTTCTTATGGCCTGAGGACCTGTCGGATCCACTATGCTTTCTCTTCTTTGTTTGTTTGTGCGGAGATGAAGAGGAGTGTTGACCCTCCAGCACCATAAGCCGATGGGCGGGGTGGAGGTGTGGTGGAAGTGGACGATGGAGGAACAGATTTGTCCACCACTTGGTCAGATCGGAGCAGTGCTTGGTCCCACAAGAGTTTGTGCAGGCAATTCTCTCAATCTTTCCTCACCTGCTTGGTAAAGGCCTGGCAATGGGGACATTTTGGACCCACACTGAGAGCACTTGCAGAAAGCCACATGCTGCGACATCGAGGAAGAATGGGATGATAGCAAAGTAGACAGAACGAGGAGTAATATATATATATATATATATATATATATATATATATATGTATTTGAACAGGGAAAAGGGGGAAATTGAGAAGAAAACTTCTAACGGGGAGGGAAAAACTTGAATAAATGTATACAAACTGAGAGGCGAAAGGCTCAAGGCACAGCGAACAGCGGTTGCAAGAAGACTCAGGAAATAGCAGGCACTCTGCCCTTTTATACCGGGGGGGGGGGGGGGGTGCAGAGATCCTGCCAAAACTGTTAAGTTTTTGAATCTTTCCGGTCATAGGCACTGAGCAGGTGCAGCACCCATATGTGTGATGCACAGAGGCCACGACGAAGAAAGGAGGGTGCCTCCTGTCACTATGAAACTGTGCAAATGGCTGCCTAATTGCCATGCTACCACCCAGACAAGCAATCCACACGGGTATTGTTGAATTGGCCTATACTCAGCCTTGGATCTGGCCTAGTTCTGAAGCATTTCTACCTCTCAGGCAGTTCCACCAATTCAGATACTATCTAGATGACCCTAATGATATTTGTGCTTTAGATACTGTACTGCACTGCCATGGACTTATTTACCAACTAGTTCTAAATCAATCAAGTGTATATTTTATTCTACACCATTCTGGAGCTCAATTCTAATGAACAGTAGATAAAAGCCTAAATTAAATAAATAAAGAACCATCTGCACACTGGGCCTTGGCTTACTAGCTCCAGCAGCAAGAGCAGCTGCCCACAGGTAAGCCCTAGAGGTATCCAAGCTTGCATGTCCATCCCTGAGTGTGGAGTAACTGCAGCCCAATTCTGTGCATTCTTATTCAGGTAAGAGGAGCCCTGGGATTGGCATCAGAAGGGACAGCAGGTGTGCTGGCAGGTAGTAGGTCCTGGGTCTATCTTAGAGAAGAAGGTTGAAAGGAGTAGCCAAGTTTTCTCACAGGAAACACCCCAACTCAACATTATAATGGATCCTATTTAAGTTTCAGGTGCCATAGTTAGAACTGTGCCACTCAGATTGCCAGTGTTTCACATCGCTCCCAGAATTCTGCCTTTAACAACACTTTAATATGCAGACATTCACAGGGCAACACATGCACTGCAAAACTCTGTCTTCTGATTCCTGAAATCAACCCACTGTTAAAGGCTCGAGAGCATGCTAAGCCTTCAGCTGGCAACTCCAACACTGGATTAGTTGGGCTGTGGGTAGAAACTGGGGACAGGAGCTTACTCTTTGTTACTAGCTGACTTAGAGTTAAAAGTTCTAAATAGTTAGCACTGTGATTTGCCCAGTTCAGAGAGCATCATAACTTGTGGTTTTACAAACCAGGAAAAGGAAGAAAGAATTAATAAGAATGGAATAGAAAATGGAAGTGTCAAATCTTACTTCCCTTAGGAAGCAAATCTGTGCTGTGACTGCACTTATGTTCAGTTCTGGTCCCCTTACCTGAAAACGACATTGAATTAGAAAAAGTACAGAGAAAAGTACAGAAAATGATCAGAGGGTTGGAGCAACATGCCTGTGAGGAGTGGCTATGACAACTGGGACTGCTCAGCTTAGGAAAAAGGGTGAGGGGAGACTTGATAGAGGTGTTTAAAATAATGCATGGTATTGAGAAAGTAAAGAGGGAAATATTTTTCTCCTTCTCACATAACACTTGAACTTGGAAACATCCCATGTATATGGAGTGCAGTACTGGATGGACTGATCTCCCATAGCATCTTTTTGTGTTCGGATGTTTTTAATACATGGAGGAAAGGAAAAGAGGCTGTATATTGGACAAACCTGCAGCAAATTCCTTATCCTCTAAATTAACAGGAATCTGATGTGTGAATTGAGCAGGTGAGTGGGACTGAGACCCTCTATGCCAGAAAAAAAGATTAAGGAATAATACAGAAGGTGCTTTATATTACCTTTCAGCTACTGATGGCCTTGATAAATAGAAATCCTCTTCTGCCAGATAGGCAGCTGCAGTTCCACCTCCAAAATAGTTTTTCCTCAGGCAAGAAGCAACTTCATTCCTTACCAACAGTGCACCTAGGCCAGTTGGCAATCCAAATATCTTATAAAAAGACAGGGGCACAAAATCTGCTTGATAAATGTTCAAGTCCAATGGAGAAGTACTGACATAAGAAGCTGCATCCAAAAGGACAAACCATTTCCCTTGGGCCTTGACTGGGAGTAGCTTTCCAGATTTTATCTGCTCTATCCATGCAAGGGGATATTTAGTGCCAGAAAAGTTGCTCTGAGCAGGATAACAGAAGAGGTGAGGTGTGCTGCAGCTCTTTTCAGCCACCACATTATTTGCCCTTGACAACATATCTTTTGCTTTCACAGGAACAAACAAGGCATTTGCTGTTGCAGTGATCCTTCTCATGCCCACCACAGATGTATGACTGTCAGTGAGGTAGCAAAACCGACTGCCACAGTTCTCCAAAGTTTCGGGCATCCAAGGGAAAGCCTCTGCAAGGAGTTTGAGTGCAGCTGTACTTCCTGAAGTGAAAATTATCGAGTAGTCTTCTACAGTTGTATTGAAATGCTGCAATATCCTGCAAAAGAAGAAGGAAAACAGCAACACTGGAGAGGAATTCCCCCACTTCTTATTTTATGCTACTAAGAGATCTTTCTTGGTTACCGTATTCTAGCATGTTAACCAGGTGTCAAACTTCAGGCCTGCAGGCCTAATCTGGCTCACCACAGTCCTCCAGATGGCCACGCCCTCTTTCTTTGGTCCCAACCCTGTTTCTCCAAAACAGTGATCATTTGGTGGTTTCTCAAATTTCACACAACACATTTCCTCCCATTATAAAATGTGGAAAGCCTCTCCCAGAGCTAAGTCTGGACAGTCAACTGAAAGGGATGGTGCAACTTAAGCGTCCTACAATAGCAGAATGCTGGACCCAATGGCCTTCTGTCCCCTTCCAACTCTATTGTATGATTCTATTAAGTTATAGGCATCAGGATCTTAAACCCAAAATATGCCATTGGCACCATCCACCACTCAAGAGCTTCTTCAAAATGTAATTCAGCCCTTGATTGAAAGATCTGTCTCCCCTGACCCAAGTTAAATTCTAAGCAGAGAAAATGTGTAGCCAGCCACATTCTATTTGCCATGACTACAGAGTTATCCACCTGTTCTGCTCAGTTTGATAAATTATCAGCCAAACTGCACACATAAACATCTCTACCTTCAGTCAGTTTCCAGCTTCTTGAGGCTACTTTCCCTTTAAAAAATAAGAACACTGAGACTTTGCATCATCTTTGTGCCCCTGAGTGTGTGAAGTGCCATTTACCCCAAAGAAAAAATGAATGCAACTGACAACTTCTCCCAGCAGGAGGAAAGAATCCAGAAGGGATGACATGTTAGTTTCTTGCAGAAATAGAATCAAACACTCCCTGACACCTCAATAAATGTACTGTAGCATGAGCATTCATCACTGAAGCTAGATCCTAGTTTGCAGAGTTTCAGGTCTTCTGAGAAACAGATCCTGGGATTAAACAGTAGAATCTTAACAAGAAGCCACACACAAATCTGTGCTCAGTCATGAAGTTGCCAGGTGGCCTTTGGCCAGTCATTCTCACTCAACTTAATCTTTCTCACAGGGTTGCTATGGAGATACCATGGGAGGAAGAGGACCAGGTACACCACCCTGACTTTCTTGGATGAGGAACAGAATACAAATACAATAAATGAGGACGGCAAGAGGCCCGTTAGATCAGGAAAGAGCATGCAGAAAGGGACAGAGGGCTGGATAACTCACCGTCAACTTCCATCAGATGCCATGGCCACTGATCCTGATATCAAGGGATGATTACCATAGTCCCTGATGTCACTCGGTTCTCAGTAGCTATATTGGAAAGGTTACACTCCAGGCACATCTGCTGGAAACAGGCTTTGCTGAATGCAGTTCTTGTTCCACTGCAGAAAGCCTATGCTCAGCAAAGCAGAGGTTGGGCAGGTCTGACAAAGTTCAGCTTCCCCCCTCCTTTGCCTTCCCCATGCAGGAAAGGTGAATTACAAGGGAAGGCTTCTCATACAGCAACTGCAGAAGCTCCTGCAGGCACTGAATGAGGACAGCCACTGTTCCCTCAATACCTCTAGGGAAAGAGAAATGGCAGGGGCTCTGGAGGGAACACAAGCCTTGTGGGCCATATTAGGTTTACTGGACAAAAGCTGCCTACCCCTGCATTAGGCAATGTCAGGGGAGAAGAATGGTTATGTCTGGCAATTCAGAGTCAGAATGGGAAGCATCTGGAAACACTTATTATTTCAACTTAGTACATAAAAATTAAGAACTGCTGTTTTCCACCTAGACATATACAATCTTGCAATTAGCTCTAAGACAAAAGAATTCTACAAATTTGACTATCATCTCCCCTTTTTAAAATCATGAAATCAATTCAGACTCAAATCACTTCCTTGTAAACCTATTTTTCTTCTTTTCTTTTTTTTTAAAGGATGAAACTACTTTGTAACTACAATTTGCTAATGAAAACATTTTTTTCAGTGCTGTTTTTGCATAATCCTTGCATATAAAAATCAACACCTAAATCTCGTTAGGAGAAAATTTCCTTCAAGAACTGGGCCAAAGTTATTTTAACATTTACTCTTGCATAAATGAACAGCTCAGGTTTGACTCAAGCAGCCTGGATATGGTTTCAGGCCCTGACTCTAACTGCTACAGAAAATCTGAAATCTGCAAACCACAAAATACTGCAGCTGACAGCATGGGATCACTAGTCACGGACATAGCAAACTCCCTTTCCCAGAGTGCTTATAAGTGATGCTGAGTTTCTTCCTTACCCACATTCTCTTCCACTGGTGCTAATTTTTATGCCATAGAGCAGGGACTTTCCCTGGCTAGCAGTGCCATGCTCACTGATGGCAATATAAATAATCCCCTGGAGTCTTTATCTAATATCATTATAAGCAATAGAATTATTTAGATGCCTTTCTATGAAGAGCTACATGTATATAGCATTATTTTTGCCATTCTAAAAGCCATGTTAAGTAAATGCCGTATAGAATAACCTAACTTAATCACAATTTTTTATGACAATAGCAGTGAACTCATTCCCCAGGTGTGGATCCTTACACAGCCAGAACAGAGCCACTTCTGCAAAAGAGGGAAACAGTTGCAGCCTTGTGGACTTCCTAATATTTACGGAGGTACTACCACATTTTAGAGTGGATTCTAAGGTTAGGGACACAACAACATCAAGCCTACTGAGGGATGACTATGTTCAGCGGGGTGCAGAATGCTGACTGATTCTTGTTGCGGCTGAGTTGCTGGGACAGAGTTCGGGGAAGAGAACATGGAAGGAGCAGACCACAACTACAATATTTTATTAGAGTCCACTTGTTCCTTGCTACTGTTGTTTACCTTTTCATTCCCTAATTTGTCATGTCATGCTACTAGGGGGCAGAATGTTCTTCAACAAAAATCAATGTACTGACCACTATTTCTTAATTTATTTGTGTAGTTAAATGAACAGGGTTTGTGCCAACACAAACACTTCTGAGAAATCACACTGCATGGAACCAAGGCCACACTGACAAATGATTATATGTACTGAAGAGCAGATAACACATTCTAGTTCAGTCACATGCTTTTAGTACATGAGCAAAGAAATATTTTTTCCCAGTAAAAATCTGAGAGGGAATAAAAATACAACTGCACATCCTTAGCTACATTTTGAGTTAATTATGCTTAGCATGCCATAGAGGCATCTCCATCAGTCAAAAGAATTCTTTTAAGTAGACTTGTTAATTGCCTAGACTAGTCCTTTGATGTTTCTTTAGTAAGGGAGAAAAATTAGTTTTCAGTACTCTCACACCCACAAGAAGCTTGACCTGAAGAATGCTATCCCAGAAAAATGTCTCACTGATTTAGGAAGTGAGAGGTAGTGTGGTGTAGGGGTTAGTGAGCTGTATTGGACCTAGAGCAGGGGTCAGCAACCCGCAGCTCTGGAACCGCATGTGGCTCTTGAATCCCTCTGCTGCGGCTCCGTCCCTCAAAACACCCGCTGGCACAACCACTGATCTGCTCGAAGCAAAGCTCCACTCAGGAACGCAGCAGCGCTAGCTAGTTAAGTAAATCAGCTAGTTAAGTAAATTGCTACATTCCTCTGCTAAACAAGCTTCCTGCAGCTCTCCTGTTACAGGAAATGAAACACTGCTGAAAAGATTCTCTTTGTCCCAATGTAATCGCCTTCATCTGAATGTTAAAAGCTGTGCTTGGGACCTGTCACAATTCACATCACTTGACTGTTTATCTGCTAATCAGTCACTAAACACACCTATATCTCCGGCACAGCTGCCCAATCTGCGGATTCCCGCCGATTTACTGAGCTCCCCATCCCTAGGCCAACCATGGATAAATCGAAGAAAAGTTTCTGAAGAAAACCAAACATTTAATGATAAGTGGGTAGTTTCATTTGCTTTTACTGCACATGAACTTATGGGGTTTGCTGTTTAATGCATGCAGCCCTTTAGCACTGATTTTGACTCAGCAGGAAGCTGTTTTCCTATTCAAAATATATGAAAGGAGTCCTACTAGTTTATAATGAAAGATTAAAAATAACAGTTTTTAGTGACTGAACAAGAGCTGCAGCTAAATCATAATGAAGATATACATAGCATTAAGGTAAAAAATGATATATGCAGTGTTATCTTCATTTTAGATGTCAAAAGGATTTTGCTGCTTTTCTGTTGTGTGGGAAATGGGTCCAAATGGCTCTTAGAGTGTTAAAGGTTGCCGACCTCTGACCTAGGGGGACCCAAGATCAAGGCCCTACTCAGCCATGAAACTCACTGACTCTGCGATTCCTTGCAGGGGAAAGAAGGACAGATATGGAACAAATCAATAAAACAAAGAAACAAAACAAAGCTTGGGCCTCATTCAGTGAATGGCTCTACATCAGGCATTTTTATCAGCATTGACATGCCTGACTTGCTGGCAGGTAACATGACACTCTCCCCAAACAGATCTCCTCATGTTCTTTTTGCCATTATATCCTAGATCTTTTCAGACCACTTGTATAATGACTTGTTAATATGTTGCTTCCCCCCGCCCCCATGATTATATCTCAGTGGGTACTAAACTTGTAGCATGGTTCTTAGGCCAGGAGGAGTTTGTCTGTGGGCTGGAACTACTAGGGAAGAGGAAAGGTCCTACTGGAATTTTGGCAAAGCAGTAGCCACTTGGAGAAGGCAACCCTTCAGCTGCTGCCCTGCACCCCTCACCACCCATACCCCTGAGGTTTCCCTGCCCTTCTCTCTCAGGTGTGCCAGAGACCTGGAGAATAAATGCAATGCTGTTCCCCCTCCCTTTGAAAGTAAGGTTTGGAATGTTCCCTTTGCCCCCTTCCTCAAAGAACCACCAGCTGGGGATGGTCCAAGATGCATTAGGCATTTCAGCAGTAAAATACATTTTCTTCAATGGCTTTACTCAGAGGTAAATCATATTGCTCTCAATGGCACTTCATACTGGAAAGTCAGCACAGGAAGAGGCTGCATGTGCTTTGGGGAGCTGTTTCTGCATGGACCACTTCACTCTGTGGAAGGGCAGGTGCAGCAGCATGGCCACTTATTCGTCTCTCCTGATCCCCTTCTCCTTTGCCATGATTTGTGAGGGGGTGAAGGGGCAGGAGCAGCTGCCATTTTTTCTTATTTCCCACCCTTTTCCTTCTGAAGAACTCAAGGCAGTTTACATCATTCTCCTCCCACTCTCAATATTATCCTCACAACAACCTTGTGAGGTAGGTTGGGCTGAGGGTCTATAACTGGCCCAAAGTCGACTAGTGAGCTCCATGACTGAATGGAGACTACAACCCAGGTCGTCTGAGTCCCAGTCTCATGCTCTTAACCACTACAGCACACTTGTTTGCTCTTCTACATGGATGAAAAAGAAAACTGAATTTTTAAAGAGCCTTTTCCCCTGTACACATCATCTTTAGAACACCTACTTTTCCCACAATTATATCTGAGTGTGAATTTATGTCATGCTTTCAACACGGTAGAAACTACAATATTCATCGGCATGGGCTTCAACAACAATAAATGTATTTTGCATCAGTACAGCAACAAAACTCTGATTAACAGAAGGGACTCCAGTGCAGTTCTGCCCACTGACTAAATGTTATTTCAAAATTTTACAGATTAAAATTTCACTCATAAGTCAGGGCCAATGCTTCCCCACAACAGGTTGAAGTGGCTTGCTTCATGGAGCATCAGAAAAGGCTGGGGGAAACAGGTAAAGAAAGGAATGTTCTCAGAACAAGAAAACAAGACTTTTTAAAGGCGGAGTGTGATGTCCATTGAGTTCTGTCAGGGAGTAAATGTCCTGGAGCAGCACCAATTGAAAGGGCACTTCTATTGCACACAGAGGTCTCAATTTTGGTACATGCAATCTAAAACAACTGCAGGGAACTTGTAAACTTCCAAATACTTTTCTCTATAACTCCCATAGCCAGTGGTGAGGGATGGCGAGTCTTTGGCCAAAACTTCTGGATTGCCCCAGGCTGAGCACCCCAGATCTAAAATATACCTAATTTCAAGAAAAGTCACAAAGTAGGCATTTTTAACCTCTCCCCCTCAAAACCGTTTTAAAAAGCAGGCAGTACTTTTCCCAGCACCATAGCTGTTGAACTGGAAGGATGCAGTTGCTCCCCCTTCCCATGCCTGGACCAGCTCAAAACAGAAGCCAGAGGAATTCTGCAGTGGAAGCTGTTAGTTGTTAGTTGTGCTCACAAAATGCAAGCTCTCTTTATGCTTGTGTGCACACATGTCTCTGTGAGCACATGCACAACTTTTATCCTGGTGGAATAGTCTTTGTGGAATAGCAAGGATTCTGGGGAAGACAAACACCATGTCCCTGCACAGAGCAGAATGGCTGCTTTTGGCCTCACAGTTCACTGATTTGGACTGGGGGTTGTTTCTTGGAATGATCTAAAAATGAAGTTTGGAGGCAGGAGTGAAGCTTAAAAAGAAAGCCATTAATTAGCCAAGAACTCCTTGCTGTATTATTCAAAATTTGGTCCATCCAAATCAGGAGTTATTGTCCAGACTATTTCTCAATAAGTACATGTTTCTCTTTTGCACCCAAAAGGTGAAACACAGGTACTGTGTTTTAAGTGTTTTCAACCCCTGGCTGACTACAGCATTGCATTTGAAGTGGTCAGCACTGTTTTAGATTACTAACTACCTGAAGTGGCTAAGATTATGTGTAATTGTAATTAACCTAGTGGTCCACATTAATGGAAATTAGCTCTCTTTGCATTCTGCTTAATGTTGTGTATAATATAAAAATGTTTATACTCTGGCACTAAAGGAATTACCCCAATATAATCTTGCCCATTTTTCAATCCCCTGTTCATTGATACCAGCACAAGAACAATCACTAAATACTTGAAGTGGAAAGTCTGTTTCTGTGACTACGCAACAGACTATTAGTACAAGAAAAAGCTGAGCAAGCTGAGAACAGGTTTGCATGCATGACACATGTTGGACACAGTCTCATTGTCACCACATACAAAACAAGGACCAGCTGGTCAGAGGGCTCTGTGGTGCTAACCTCCCATGTGAATTACTGCAAAGCTTATAACAGGGCTGCTCCTGAAGATGGTTTAGAAGCTCCAGCAAAGCCAGAGGTCCAGACCCTTTCAAGGAGGACAAGGAGCCCACAGTTTTATCATGAATCCAATTGCCAAGGTCCCTCATTTTTCTTGAGGCTACCAGCACATAGCCTGGCCCTTCACATGTCACAAAAAGGCAACAGTCTGAATAACATTTGCATTAAGCAATGTATATGTCTATGTGCACATTTAGAAATAACATTTAAATAGAAAAACAAGACCCCCCCCCCACCATATACATCATAGTGGCAAGTCTGACTAGGTCAAGTAACCTCTGCATCTGTTCAGCCTGCTACCCAGGTACTAACTGTGGAAGGCAACTTCAACTCCCATCTTTCCTCTTCCTAACAAATTCTTTGACTTTAAACCATGCTTGGATTGAACAACCCACCCCCCCTCCACACAGAAGCCTGTCTTTTGCCAGCTCTCCAGAATAAAGGGCCGTTCTCTGTAAGGTAGAATCATGAAGGATGCTGCTCAAGGCCTCTCAGCATTACTGGGGTGCCATGCTCCAAGGGAATGCTTCCCTCCTTTAGATTCTGGTAAAAATGCAGGGAGGGTCTGTACTCAGCATGGCTGCTGCACTACTTAAGAGCTAATAGCTGTGGTGAGATTGAAGCCAGCACTTCTCAGCTTGCAGCTCATTCCCAAAACTGCTATCCCAGCTCTGAGTATGCACCTCACTAATCCATATTCAGTCACTGTAATGCAATCACCCAGGTGAGAGCAACTGTGTTGTATTGGCAGTTTTCACACTTATACCCACTAGCATCTCAATTGCTTCCACCAAAAAATCTGCATTTATTATTTAATAGATTTAGAGACTACTTTTTAAAGGGTAAAACCCTCATGTAAAAACTGCATGGATTTAAATAAAGGAAATGTAACAATACAGAGAATTAAATAGACAAATGACTAGAGATTTTGAAACAAGCAATTGAGTCATCCAAATTTTGAAAGGAGGCTTCCAGGCAGATGCACTGAGCACAGTTAAGTGCTCTCATTTCTTTCCTTTCTGTCCCCCGTTAGTGACCTTTCAAAAGGACAAGCCGATACTAAGCAGGGGCAGTATCAGATTTTTCTTACTGTGCATTAAAGGTCAAGAGAGATTGTATGTTAAGAGCTGCAATGTTGCTGTTTTGAGGCAGACCTTACAAACATTGGAGAGCACAACCAGAAAAGGTTCAATCTCATCTGAATAATCTCAAAACCAGCAAGCTAGATAGAAAGGCAAGGAGGCAAGACTTTGAAAGTTAAAAGACCCTGTACATGTCAGGTTCCTTTGGCCTTTGGTGGGCATCTTGTAGACCTCCAGATGTTTGGCCTGTAACATGTACCAGCCTTAGTGCTGGAAAGAACAAATCAGCCAACAGGAAAGATGGGATGTTCCAACAAAGGATCACACATGGTCTGGAGCCCAAAAGGGAAGTGGGGTGTCCTAGACTATCTCAGACATGTGATACTGAGCTACTTGCAATAAACATGCCCACTGTATGCTACCCTTAATTTCTCCCACTTTTGTACCACCCAATAATAAAAGTTCTCTGAATAGCTCACAGCAAGAGAAAAAAAAACCTTTCAAGCACTAGCCTATACACTGAACTCCTGACACACAGTCTCCCATCTATCCTATGCACTGCTGTCAAGTGCCAAGTAGGGTGGGAGGGACAGCCAAGGTTAATTCTTCTCTCATACTACCCATCAATTCTTTTAAAAAATCAGCTAGACGGGTTTCTGAGCCAGTTTAACTCACTTACTGAAGGTGGGTGGGAAAGGTGATGAAGATGAGAGGATCCTAAAGCCTCTCCATCCCCCACCCAGCAAAATGTCCCCTCCCTCCATTGGCTCTTCTCACTGTTGCAGCCTCAAAAGAACAGCTACTGTGGTGCTTGCTCCAATGCTCTGAGGGGGAGAAGCAACAGCCAGTGCTGCATCCCCACCCTCAAAGGTTGTAGGAATGTCTATAGGTTTGGGATGAGGATTCCAAGGTATCCTAGGATCCCTGGGATACTCTCACAGGGACCATAAGATTGCTCAGTTAACAAAAACTAAAAAATCATCTGAAACAATGAAAAACAATTAACAGTTAAGCCACCAGGGTTAGATAAAAGCTAAGAGATGGACTTAATGTGTCATTCCTTTATCTCTTTTATAGTATTTTGTTTATACACTGCCTTTCAGTAGAGTTATGGCTTACAAAACAAGGCATAATACAAACATCAAGCTTTAGTGCATTAGATTACACCTTAAATGTTGTACATCTCCAGGCTCAAATCCCATGCCCAATCCCATGCCCAATCATCTATGCATAAGCCCCCTTTGAACTCATTGAGTAGACATGCATGGGGACACACTGTGTAAAAAGCAAAGAGTAGATATGCCTGGCCTAGAGGTGAAAGGACAAGAGCTACACAATGCTCCTTGGGGAGGGAATTCTATAATTAGGTGCCACTGCTGAGAATACTTTTTCTGGTCATCACACACTTCACCTCAAATAGCACGGCACCTTTTGACAACTTGAATTTTGGCATTTCTAGCAGTCAGAAATAAATAAAATGTAATACAATTAAAATTAAAGGTTTATGGCACAAAGAAATCTCAACACAAATGAAAACACAATATGTGGCATGTAAATAGAATGTCATTCTACCTATATCGGACATGTTCAATTGTGTTATATGTCAATTTGCTGCTGATGTTCTGACTGTGAGGGTTCCCTAAGAAAGAAAAGAGAGAGCAGTGATTTATAACAGACTTTTCATTCTTTTTACAAAGCACTAACCCCCAAACACGCTCATAGATGTGATTAAGCACATCGTTCACTGCAGTGGTCTTACGCTATTAGCACGTTTTTAAATAAATTAATTAACAAAGCAAGCAAAACAGTGATGTGCCCCCCTCCCCAAATTGATGCAATAAAGTGTAATTACACAGAAGTTCAATTACAACAGAAGGCACCACTACTGAATACAAGTGTCACATGCCAATCAAGCTACTGCTGCTGAATGATGACCATATACTGCATTGCAGTTTGACTATCTCCCAACAGAGGAATACCAATAGTGGGGTCTCACAAGGTTCTTTAATAAGATGAATGCTTTTCAACCCATTCATAACTGATCCAGAATTAGGAGTAAGGAGTGAAGTGGCCAATTTGCTGATGGTACCAAACTGCAGGTGGCACAGTGGTTTAAACCGCTGTGCTGGCTGGGCTGATAGATCGAAAGGTCACTGGTTCGAATCTACACAACGGGGTGAGTTCCCGTTGCTCCGTCCCAGCTCCTGCCAACCTTGCAGTTCGAAAGCATGCAAATGCAAGTAGATAAAAAGGTACCACTTTGGTGGGCAGGTAACAGCGTTCCGTGCACTTCGGTGTTTAGTCATGCCAGCCACATGACCACGGAGACTGTGGACAAACGCTGGCTCCCTTGGCTAGGAAACGGAGATGAGCATCGCCCCCTAAAGTCAGGCATGACAGGACTTAATGTCAAGGGGAAACCTTTACCTTTACCTTATCAAACTATTTAGAGTGTTTAAACCAAAAAGGAATCACGAGGGGCTCCAAAGGAGGATCCTCAAGCTGGGAGGATGGGCATTAAAAAAGCAACTGTGCTTTCTTTAATGCAAATATAATTCAATTGAAGCCAGATGCTTCAGGTTTTAATTTTAAAAATCAATATGCTGATAAAATTAAATTAGGCACTGTAGAATGAATGACATATATATATTCAGACTAAGCTTCACTATCCCTGCTTTGACATTAAAACAGGATATATTTTACTTATTAACTTCCACAAATTGTAACTCAGAAGAGAGTATTATATTTATTTACTCAAAGCATTTTTGTCTTGCTTTTCAGTCAAGTCTCCTAGAGCACCATACAAAGCTCAGAAATATGATGTGCCTTACCCATATAACCTTACGCCCTGAGACCTGGCATGCACAAAGGAAAAAAAAAGGGGGGGGGAGGAAAATGGGAAACTCTGGCACTAAATTCTAAGTTGCAAAGCACAGCAGGTCACAGGAATGAAGAGCTGCTGGGTCCTCCTGTTCTGACAGCTTGGCAGCAGGGAGGAGCAAAGCCAGAGACTTGGTGGGCTTTACCCACCAAGAAGGGCTTTATCTAACTGGGAAAAGCCTGGAGGAAGCAAAACAGGATCCCTAACTAAGGGAGATTCCATACATATCACCTGACCCACTGGGACATCCAGAGGGCAACCCCACTTCCACACCCAAACAGGCTCCTCAACCCTGACTAAAGTGAAGAACTCCATCAACTCCTCTTCTGTACTTTCTAGTGGGGATGTAGGCCCTTTGCTCTAGCTTACAGGACAGTGACTTGATGGGTGAAGCCAATATGGCCAAGTCCTTAAAGACATTACATGAGCTTTCCTTACCATAAACGTTTTCAGTGAGGTCATCAGTGAAGGATTTTAGCAAACTTTCTGGGTAGAGTGCAGTACCTGCATGGTCAAGGTAAGTAATTCCTGCAACGGGAAAAATGGAAATGGATTACACACTGAAATATTAGGGCTGTCGTATTCTCATTCCCACATTCAGGTAGCCTAACTTGCCTATCATACATAATTAATGAGTAATTTACATGTCATGTTGGTTGGAAAAGGTTTAAGGAACCCACAAATATCTATTTTCCACTCTAGATGACCCCTTTATAAACTTGACTTATAAGGGGAAAAAAATGACCGGTTTGGTTTTTTTCAGTGAAATTGAATCCTCATCCACTCAAAGACTAATAACACTGAAAAGGAGCACACAGCTCATTTCTCACAAAATGATTAAGCAAAATAGTGTGTACTCACAACATGCTTCCTGGTGAAAATCTCAACATGGCTATGAATAAATATTTTCCCCTTGCTCTTCATGTTGCAGTTCCAAATCCAGAATATAATTGTAGTGTCCAAAAAAACCTCCGCCATATTATGCCAGCATAAGGATAGCAAAACATGATAGAAGAGGCTTCCTCTCACTCTTTAATGAGTCTTGCCAGCTACTGGCAAGTTTTTTTTTAAGTAAAAAAAAAAACCACCCAAGTATGGGTCAGCTCAAAAGAGAGTTCCTCAAGCAATACAGAAAAGTTCAGATACTTCTTAAGGCAATATAGGACAAGGACCATGAGCAACATCTTTGCTGGACCTTGACATCCCCTCCTCCCCAACAAGGTTTAAGCCTGAAGGACTAAGGAAAAAGTGTAGGTCCATGGATAGATATACTGTACACAGGCACAATAGGCAACACTGCAACATGATCATGGGACACATTGGTTAAGGCATTAGGCTGTAATGTCCATGTCATGGGCAGCAGGCAACTATGGTTGGAATATGAAGGTGAGGGCATAGGTGCTGAACAGAGTCCTGCAGCAGGTTCAGAGGACCAGAAGGAAGAAGCATGTTTCTTTAACAGTCCAGAGTCAAGCAGGAAGATGAAAGATATGAACAAGACAGTCCAAGATTTCACAGTTCAAAGATCAAGTTCTAGAAAGACAGTAACATTTTGGAGCAGGCAAGGTCAGGGAGGATGGCTGCAGGTACCTGGGGAGACAGAGTCAGGCTGGCAACAACACCTGCAGCAGGAACAGACTGCAGCTGGGCAGGAGGCAGATCAGGTAGGCAGGAACCAAGATTCAGGCAAGGCAAGGCAATGCAGGGAGCCAGAGCACAAGGGAGTTACCAGGACAGCACACACTGCTGTGATAAAGAGCAGCAGTGCAGGGAGGCCTTTTATGCTGGTCTTCAGGCCCTCTAGCTACACTGCATAATTGCTCCTCAGCTGTTCCCTGTAAGTGCCTGCAAAGGTGTTCCTGGTTCTCCAGGCATTTGCAGCGTCACTCAGGCCTTGATCTTGACACAGCCCTGACTTCACTTCACTGGCTTTGTGACCAGCCAATGTGACATACCTTTAACTCTGGTCTTTTGGCTGCAGGGTTTAATAATCAGACAAACATGTTATCCACAAATTCCAAATGCAGGTTACAATGCTACTCATGTTCAAAATAACCAGTGAAGAAAAGCAGCTCCAAATCATGTATTGCTTTTATGTCTGGAAGCTAAAACCAAGCAAAAGAATCTAAGCAATGGTTTGGCTGAACCAGACACATGTTAAGTACTCTTCTCTATTCCACAGATTTTGGATTTAAGTTCTTCAGCCTCTCATATGGAAAGCTATACCCCAGTGTCTAAAACTCTAATACCAGTCGACAGTGAGTGATAAAGCCAAATCAATTGAAGATACTGTCAGCCCTATCACTCACTTGCATGCTGAAAGTTGTAGAAAATTACTGTACCTTAACAGAAGAACAGTAGTTTGCACAGCACAAAGTGGACGTTAACTTACAGATTGGGTCATACATACATTGGGTCTAGTCATATACAAGAAGAATTTCTACCCATTTCCACCTTAACTCAAAGTACAGAGTACTGTTTATTACCCATCCACCTGCTACAGAACTGTGCTTTTCTTCTGTGCCACTTTATCATTTACCATGGTAAAAAATTGCATTGATCAGATTCCAGATTCTATCATCTTCAGCAAACCTGAGGGTTTAGGAAATACAGTGGTACCTCGGCTCACAAACGCCTTGGTTCACAACCAAACTGGGTCGTGAACAAAAATGTCATGAAAATTTTGACGTGGGTTGCGAACTCTGCATAGGGTGGCAACCAAGATCGCAGCCATCTCCCCACCCCACTCCGAGTAGGGCGATGGCCAAGATTGCGTCTGTCTCTCCCTCCCCCAGCGTGCCCCATTCGCACCCGTCTCTCTCCCCCAGCACGCCCCATTTGCGCCCGTCTCTCCCCCCCACACACAGCGTGCTGGGATGACAGGCGCAATCTCGGTCGTGCTGGGGGAGGCAGGGAGATGGTCGCACTTGTGGTCGGGGGGGGTGGGGAGAGATGGCCGCATTCTTTGTTGTTCTTTGTCACTTTGCTTCACAATTTTCAGATTAAAAAAAAAATGCTTACAGAACGGATTAACCTTATTTACATTGAACCTTATGGGGAAATTTAACTTGACTCATGACCAATTTGGGTCACAACCAAAGTCCTGGAAAGGATTAAATTCATGAGCCAATGTTTGCCTACTTTTTGTATGTTTGCCTACTTTTTGTATGTTTGCCTACTTTTTGTAGGCAACAAGTTTGTGTTGATGCCCAAAACCATGCTTGTGACTCCCTTTAAATATCAAGCTGTAGTCTGACACTCTTCCAGTTCCTAGGCTGGTAGGAAGTTTAATCCTTCTTTCAATCCCAAGTCTTAAGCATGTTACCTTTCCTATTGTGCAACTATTTCATTATCTCCCCCATGGCTCCTCCTGCAATAACACCAAAGAAATTGTTTGGTGTTAAATTTTAAAATCCACTTCCAGTATCTACATGGTTCCTCACCCTTTACAATTAGGCTACAATTGCCAAACCATGAGCCAGAAGTGAACTGCTTTGTGTGTCATGAAAAGCAAATAAATTCATGTTTCTCTAGTCCTCTTCCAGCTATTCATCTAAGAGAGAAAGTGGAACTCTTTAATAAAAGTTTGGATGCAGTACTGGGATGGCTGAGGGGACAAGTTGAAATTGCAGACCACACTAAAAATATACTGTGCTGCTGATCCCAGTCTTTTTACCTCACAGTAAGCAGGAAGAGACCCTATTATTATTATTATTTCATTTCTATACTACCCCATAGCTGGAACTATCTCTCAATCGAGATCAGAAATACAACATTCAGGTGGAAGGGGATTGAAACTTTCCCATCCAACCACTCCCCTCTAAACTCACCCTACCCAGGCAGAGGCTAAAAAAAGAAGAAAACTCCAATGTTTTCACCCATCTTTTTTAAATGCCCCACAAAGGGATAAGTTAAAGGGTAGAAGTGGCTCAGTGGAAAGGATTAGACCTCTCCTGCATTACGGTGCTCATGTAAGGCAGTCCATGTGCTGTGTCATCGGTCCTCATGAGTACCTACATTAATAGCAGTTATGTGGGCCTGCCAGGGAGAAAGGGCCTTCTCATTGGTGGACTCAACACTGTGGCAGGACAGCCACCCTACCAGTGTGAGCCTGGCTTATTCTGTGCAGGAACGTCAGTGAGCAAAAAGCTCTTTCCTTCTGAAGTTCCTTTCAGAAATGCATACTTGCCTTGCCTATACAGCACACCTTCTCAGTGCACTGTGACAAGATTCTTGATTATGAAACTGAAATGTTATAGAAACAGGATGAGGACTGGATATCTTCATGATGGCTGTTGCAGGCTGGCCAACTGCCCTGTTTTTGTAAAGGAGAACTGTGAACATATGAACTCTTTTGGAAAGTCAGTTGGGAATCAAGAGTTTCGCTCTCCCCACCCCAGGAAAGCAGGTATTTTGAGAGAAACTGAGCAAGACACACAAAATCCTATACTAGTGATGGTTCTCCCTGGTAACCTAATGGGAAAATCAGATCTTCTGGATATTATTGTGATGAATCTCCACCATATGTTCAAGCTTGCATTTGTAAACAAATGCAAATATTGCAAAGCAACATAATCCATGTTCTTGCTCTGTATCCCTAGAAAGTCTCATCATTTGGAAGTGGAGTGCACATCAACAGCAATACTCTCCAGGCATGTTCCTACAGCTGTTGTGTCTTGGATCTGACCATGCCTTTGTTTGAACACTGCTGTGTGAGGATATAGCACTGGAAAGTGGCTAAAATTACTTCAAATCAGGAAAATCCAATTCCTGGGATCTTGACCTTTCCTCAAAGGAAAGCTTAGCTTGAAGAAAGCTCCCCTATCCCTCAGCATCACACATACAAAATTGCTACAATTCACAAAATAATGTACAAAATGTTGTCATTTGTGAATCCAGGTCCAAATCTCTGGAAGTAACTTTTTGAATCACACACACAATATTCAACTTCCTAACTGAACCTGGAAGGGCTTATTTCATGTTTTCCCATTTGTTTATGGTTCAAGCAGCTTTGCTTCAAATAACTGGTTAAAACACAATTGTCTCATATCCTGTACTAGACTCATAACTATGCTTCCAGCACCTCACATTTAGCCCTGCTCTGTAAATCTGATTCTATTAATGGAGCTGCTGCCATGTAAACCTGGCTAGAGGTTAGTTTGCATTGCAACTTACAACTTGCCTAAGCAGCTGCTTTGTTTCTAGCAGCATTTTTGCACACCGGCAACTGTCTTAACTTGAAAAAACACATTTGTTTAGAAAGCCAGTTTATGAGATCTGATTGAAGGGATAGCTTTTTTATTACTTCATTAGAATCAGGTGGAGCCTATGATGATCAAAAGTTCATACACAAAGTAAAATAGTTGAGGTGAAACTTGGATCATACAAGAAACAAAGCTGTTTCCAAAGCACTGTTTATACTGCTCTCTTTGGTCATGGAGTTCAGCAGCATCCCCAGGGAGACAGGTGCAGGACTACAGCTGCAATCAACATCAACCAATATTCACTCACTCTGTGCTGTGATGCTATAACAATCTGCATCTCAACCTCCTGTCCGATTCCAATATTTCTGTATGTGAGATCAAAGCAGGGAGAGTTCAAAGGGACGCACACTTTGGGTAGTAGTCCCATGTGTCTCATAATGTGTCATTTCTCCCTACATTTTGTGTGATGGGAAGGAAATTCTTTTTTCTTTCTTTCTTTCTTTCTTTCTTTCTTTCTTTCTTTCTTCTTTTTTGCACTTAGATTGCCTTATTTGAGCATAATGTAAATTGTTCTATGTGGTGGTGCAGAGTCAGTTTGAATCTCAGTTCTCACTTACCTTTCCAAAGAATTGCATGCATGGGGATAAATTATGCATAAGTCTCAACATCTTTTCTTCCCACACACCTACTTCAACCCCAGTTCAACACAGAAAAGTTTGATAAAACAGAACAAAATCCATTTCTGGAGCACAAGTACACCAGATGAACTCATCTCTTGGACAAACCTGTGCTTCATTCCACATGCAGAAATCTGACGTTGAATAAAACGACATTTGTTGGGATTATGGAAACTAAATTCCAAATTAAAATCTACAATGACTTCTTATGCTCAGAAATTCTTGATTTACTGGCTTCCCTTAGCCAACAGGTGTCAAGCTATTTAGAATCTGCTTCAATGTTTACCTTCCCCCCACACAGACACACCTGAAAATGTCACAACAGAAAGTTAATGGAGAAAAAACAGATAGTGCCAGTACACTCAAAGGGCACAATAATATACATGTTTAGACAGTAAAAGGTCCCAGAATTCCCCAGTCAACATGGGTAATTTGGTATACATATATTACCACTAATTCTTTTTGAAGGTTGTCATCAATGCTTCTTTTCATTCCCTCATGCAGTATACTTGAGAACCAAAACTGAACATCTTTTCTTTGGGATACAAAGATGATATAGACAGACAAGATCACACAGAGAGATCTAATAGTGTAAAAAATTAAGAAAGGGCCACGAGCAGACAGAGAAACAGAATTCTGTCTAATACTGTCTTTCATGTCCTCTTTTTCAGGGGTTGCTAAGAATAGTTGGCTGGCCTTCTGACCACAACTAGAATATTTGCTGGCTCTAATAATGGCCAAGTTACACATAACATTAGACATTTACTTTTTAACTTTGCCACTCACTGGAGAAAGCAGCTCATTAGTGAGGGGAGGCAAAAGAGCAGCCTCTGCTCATCCCTAGTGTGGGGGGAGGGGGAGAGCGAGAGAGAGGGAACCACTAACCTCCTGGCATCTTCTTGCTCCTTTCTTTTGCAAGTTCTCCCACTTCTGGGGAGAGGTAAGCTGAAGAAAAAATCAGGCATGCAAGACCCTTTCCTCCCCACCTCTCTCCATGGGTAGCATGTTTCTTAAGAAGGCAGGTTGTTCCCGCCCACTTTCTCTCACTCCCCACCTTTGGGCTCCACAGTATGGAAGACAAGACCAAAGACAGACATCTGTGCCTGCTCACCCCTTCACCTTCTCTCTCTGAGCAATGCAGTATTCAAGGTTAGCCTTGGAAAACAGAACCACCAAATCTAGGCTTACAGCCAAGTTTGGGCTCTGGGGGCACTGCACCTCATTTTCTTCACCCATTTATTTTCCACCAACCTAATTAAAGAATGTGGACTCTTGTCTTCCAATGGCACATAAATTGGATGAACTACTCTTTTGGTATGCCCCACAAACTTCCAGGCTGACTACCAGTTTGCTCCCATCCTCATGCTTGCTCATCTAATGTCTCCCTCTTGACAGCACAGCAGCAGAGATCCTGACCACCCTCTGCCTGGGAATAGGCAGCAGCTTCTTCTCACACAGGCGCAGTTGCTGCCTCCACTTCAGGACTCAGCCTCTTTCCCTCTTGGGAGGTGTCATCTGTCCTCCAGCTCTGCAATGCTCCAACTGCTTGTGCATCCCGCCTCTATGAGCCATGCGGAGGAAAGATTATGCTTAGGAGGTTTGCCCAGACAGGAGAAGGAAGCAAAAGAAGGCAGCAGCCTGCTAACTTGTGCTCTCTCAGCAGGCAGCACAGTGGAGACAAAGCAGCCCAACCTGCCTGCTCAGTTCCAGCTTTCAAAGGGAGGGTGGGGGAAGGGGCTAAGTGGGTCCCAACCCCAATAAGCCACTCAGAGAGAGATGCTGCAGGGCACTGAGTAGAGAAATGGTGGCTGCTCCGTCAGAGACCAGCCCTCTATATTGCACTGTCCCAGAGATGCACCTGCTCATTTTTCCCCTAAGAAAAAATCCTTTCCTGAGAGGTTGGCGCAACAGAAGAAGGAAGAATCTGGAGCAGCCACTTTTCTGTCCACCCTCTAGAATTGGAAAAGCTGAAGGGGGGGGGGGTCTTCCTGGGTGGTGAGTCCCTCTCCTATTCTTTTCTAGCCTGAACAGTGCTGAACAGGCAAGTGAATGAACAGTTAGATTTTTTTTAATATAGTTTTTATACTGTATACCTTGTGTTTTCTTCTGCAAGAAACCCAAGGCAGAGTACACTGCCCTGCTTTCTAGCTTGTCCTCACAAAAATCCAGTGAAGTAGGTTAGGCTGAGTGTCAATGTCTGGCCCAAAGTCACCCAGGGCCTGTCCATGTGGGCTGGATCTTCAAAGCCTCTTACAGCACACTGGTTCTACTTGTCTGATCACCTCTGGGTACTGAGTATGCTGCTTTTCTTTCAAAGGCTAAGTGGTAGCATTAAATAGCCTTGTAATCTTACACCCTGGACTTAATGGCATTTACATTCCACTTCCTCAAAGGCCCATGCACCATTCCAAGCTATATAATTGCTTGTACTTCCTGTTAGAACAACAAAACTGCTAACCCTATCTTGAAAATAACAATAGTGCACAAAACATGTGCAGTGTTGCATACTATATTCACTGACATCTCAGCACCAGCATTCTGAAATTAGGTTTGCGCCTGCTGCCCCTTCACACGCGACTCTCGGAGTGGTCCCGAGGCTCCAACCCCAAGGCCAGCGCCAGCACACTTTCGCCGTCCCGTGACGTGAGGAAAGCAAGAGGGCGGCAGCTGCTTGGCTTAAGGTGCCTCTGAGCTGAGGGGAAGAGACCAGGGCTCCTGGGCTTTGATTGTCTCTCCCGTCAGGCACCACCTTCCCCGCAAAGTCGGGTTACCTCCTAAGCGGGCGAACTCCCTCTGGCGCATGCCCTGCGGACTCTCCACGCCGTAGCCATAGGCAGCCCCCGGGGGAAGCCCGCTTAGGAAAGTCGGGAACGACAGCCGCTCTTCCCACGACTCCATGGCCATTGCCAGGCGACCGCGCGCTGGAATCACGAGTCGAGCAGCCACAGGAGCGCGCTTTCTAGCAGAGAGGCCGGCGCGGCACGGCGCGAGCTCCTCCCTCCGCTTCCCACCGGGACGGGCGCTGGCGCTCTAAGTCAGCGTAGCTGTTACCTCTGGCGTAGAGCACCGTGTCCTTAAAGAGAAATGTTCTGAAAGAAAAACGAGAAGAAATACGTCAGTAACCTTCAGGAGCGTCAGAAAAGCAACGTAAACAGTTTTTATTGTTTCTTAGGGCGTGATCGTGTGCTTGCTGAGGCAGAAAAAAGCCGTACATTTCCCAGCCTGCACCAATTAGCATTTTTCTGTCTCAACAGGCATAGGATTGACTCTCTAGTGACCATTAACAGGACTATTTATGTCTTTTAAAAATGATAGTAAATGCAGGCTCGAGGGGAGCGGAGACACACTTATTTTCCCGACCAGCTGCAGTCTTGTGTAAATTGCTAGCAGTGGGGCGAGTCCCTCCCTTGGGTCCCCTGGATCATCTTATCTGAATGATCTTTTTGTAATTTTATACTTACTACTATTCATATTCGTATTGCCATTCATTTATGACTGGTTTATTAGGAAATGAAATCATATTATAAAATAATCGAATGCTGTAGACCTAAACCCACTTATAAGGGAGTAAGACCCTCTGAACTCAGTGGGATTTACCTTTGAGTAGATAACGTTCAGGATTGCACTCATACAGGGAAGAGAAGTGCTCGCATCTAGGTTGCACTTACTGAAATTTTAATTGTTGTCTGATGGAAAGGCAATAAGTGCATTAGGCTGCTTTGTGTTTCTGTTAATATCTGGATGTAATGCATTGTTTGTATGTGTCAGGTGGTAATATGCATATAAAACAAAAAAGTGTTTATACTTTTAATTTAGTCAGCTTTTGCCCCAAGAGGCTTCCTAAAATGACTTTGAATTAAAACTTAAACATGTCTTTCCATACATAACAGTGAATAGCTAAGGTGAGATTATGATCATGTTAATTTAAAAAGTTTGCTTCAATCTGCCTTATTTTTAAATGCACTGTGTGATGTAATGTTTTAAAAATAGACACAGAACAGTAGCATACAAGGAATGCCACAAAAGCAGCAAAAGCAAAGCATAAAAAGAGGACATAAGCCAGCTGTAGGACTTTGTTTGCCTGCTCCCCACCACAGTGGCAAGTCCCTTCCTTCCATCTTTGCCATGCTCTACCATGCCAAGTCCTAAAAGGATTTCAGTATGGTGGGGTACACAATTTGGCACCTCCAACAGCTGCCCCCACTTTCTGCTTGAGCACTCTGAGGAGACTGTCAGTGGTATGTTTTTGCCACAGGGAGGGAAGGAAACCTCAGTGTTCCTTGAAGTGCCATTGGATACACATAGGAGGACTAAAGGGAGAGGAGGGACCCCAGTACCCACAACGGACCTGCTTTTCTGTGAGGCACATCATGAGTTCTTGGGCTTAACCCACATGGGCTTATGTTGCAGTGTGCAGTGAACACTGAATAGTGTTAATAAAGTCTGAATAGTCTTTATAACATGTGCTTATAGTCAGTGCTTTTTTTGTAAAAAAAAAAAAGTGCCGGAACTCAGCTTTTGGGGTCACACTTTTACACCAAAAATGATTTTCAATTCACCAACTTTTTTTTGAAATAAAGAACTTATTTACCTTTTGCACGTAGCCAGTCACTCTACACACACATAAACGTAATGGTTGCTGCCGGCAGTAAGCACTCAGTGCATGACCACATGACCGATCCCAAGCTGAGCAGCGCCCTCACAAGCAGCGTGGACACATACGCAGCCCACAGGCACTATTTTAATACTTTTTGCTGCAGACCTGCTATGCCTGACAGAACAATTCACAATCACATGGAAAAATCCGTCAAGAAAAGGTGCCGGAAAGCTGTTCCGGTGCGTTCTATGACAAAAAAAGCCCTGCTTATAATATATTCTTCCAAGAGTGAAGGCCATTCCTCATAGAATGGCTTAACATCTACAGAACTGCAACAATTCACCAGAGCAGTAATTTTTTCATGTTCATAGCACCTGCTAAACCATAGTCAGGATTTCTACATCTGTCAGCTAAAATATAGGGACAGCTCATGATAGGATGCATCCTACTTGACTGAAGGAACAAGGGTGCTTCCAGAAAAAGCTTTTATCATGCAACTGTCCTGCCTGTTTCAAGCAGTGTTATGGGGGTCAAGATGACATCCAGTTTTGTATCATTTGAACTGATACCCTACCATTCCACTAAAAATAGTACTTAATAACAATTGTAAAGCCCCCCTCCCCCACATGCTTTCTTACCATTTCTTCTACCTTTTTTCTTTCTGTGGTAAAATCTAATGAGGAGAAAAAGATGGAAAAACTATACAATGTCTTTTCTTTGATAGCATTAGGAACCATGCATCTGGAAGCTTTGTATGATACCTAAGGGAAGATGACAGTTCAAAAAACTGTACTGGTTCTTTTGGGGCCAATGGGCTCCTGTAGTTCTTGCTAACTTTTAGATGTTTCTTGTTGAGAAGTTGTAGCAGACATGCCTCACTGAAAGGCAGGATGAACATCACCCGCACTGAGCAGAAACAGAAGGATCTTATTTGTTTTCTAAGGTGTACTTTCAGTTCATATGGTGAATGGCAATCCCACACTGAACGTATTGAGTTGTCTTTTCACTGATAGGCAAGGATGGGTTTTATTCAGGCAGGCTTTTGATATATAAACTGATTGGTTGCTGAGGGGAGTATTGGCTGGGCACGGCTAATTTCTTTTATTGTATTTTTATTTGTTTCTAGGTTAAGTCTTAATTAAGATTTTGTTTTTATCTATATGTTATCTTTAGCTGCCTTGAGCACCAATTTTGACAGAAAGGCAGGTTATTAAATAAATAAAGTGGTGCACTAAGATTTCTGGCAGATGTTGAGAGTTCCTCAGCAGAGAAAAGCCTGGGAGACTTTCTCTGAAAGCTGAAAGTTTGAAGTTGAAAAAATACTGCCCTGATCCAAAATGTGATAAGATACAAAAGACAAAAGGGTTGCTGTGCCTTCAGGAGTTCTCAAGATGAGAGTGTCCACAAGTACAGTCTCATCTCTTTTTTTCTTCTGTACAACAAACAGCAGTCACCAAAATCACCCCAAATATGTGTTCTATAGTATATTGAACCTGATTATTTCTTGACCACTCGGAATCTCCTCAGAGTAACTTCTCTCATTCCTTGTGGTTCCAGAAAAATCAGTATCTGAGTCTTGGATTACATACAAACTCCATGACCTGGGGGACGGGGGGATCCCCAGTAGGCTCTGGCTCTGCTGTTGCTGATTCTGTTGCTGTTTCTCTCCATAAATCTACCATTGACAAGAGGTAGTTTTGACCAAGCTGGCACAGCACACCTTTATGTGTGAAGTAGTCGTTAGTTATTTTAACAACCTGCCAGTGAACCACCTAAAACATTAATGAACAGGTATAGAAATCCTGGCCTTCTGCATTGGCTGACAAACTCCAACAGATTTTGTGTCTGCTATTTACACAGATCTGTAAAGCATTCAGGAGAGGGGGAAATGGTGGCCACCTTCTGGTGGGAGAAAGAATAGAACAGCAAAGGAGATGGTAACATGCCAACAGCTGGGTTTGTACAATGCAGCAAGCAAGCAACAATAACAATATTTGAGCCATGAAACCCAGTATGGTAATTAACTATGGGTAGGGTTCCCCCTGCCACAAACTACCCATGGCAAGAATCCATAGATTGTTCTAAGATTCATTCTCTCCATAGCTGGTTGTTGAGTTATCCAAACCTGGATAACATGGTTCACTGTGAGTAAAATCGAGCACCTTGTGAGCCACCTGACAAGAGTGGCAAAAATCCCTTGCTGCTTTCACCTAGCAGATCACAGGAGTCAGCAGCACTCTGGGGCAGCTGGAAGTGACTGCCCTCTCTCCCCATCATTATCATAAGCTCTTTTGGACTCACCACAGTTCCAACCACAACTTTTTTGTTTTTACTTGGAGATTGCAAAAGCTGGCCAGAAAGCTAGCTTTGATAATCTCCTTAAGAGGCAGGCACATGCTGCCCCTTCAAAGTGCCTAGTGCCTTTGGTTTTTTGGTGTATGAGTGTATCTGCAAATGGGCACAAAAATGAGCAATTCCCTCCCATTTGTAGCATTCCAAAAGAATGCTGCTGCTGTGTGTTCATGTAGGATATATGTAGAACAGTGAAGTTGAAAAACTGATGAATATTCACCATCTTAGATGGATTTTACAAATGTCCAGACACACTGCTAAATTGACAGCTGCCTGTATTTGACAGTCAGCATTTACTATCATTTGTCTGAAAAGTGAGGTTATATTTTCATTTGCATATCAACATTCACCAAGTTTTGGACTTCCATTCTACCGTGTGTTTTGTGGCTTTGCACCAAAGCTGAATATCATTTGATGGATTTTCTTCTACTAGAGGTGTTAAGCAGAGACTTGGTAGCCAACTGTGAGGAATGCTGTATCTGCACTGACCCTGTGCAATTTCCTGCCATATAGGTGTGGCTAGCATTTCTCTGGTAAGCTGGGCAGCAGGCAGTAAACCAAAGCTACAAACCAAGCAGGTAGGCAAACATAATGAAATCGTTATGAAACCAAATGATAGAATCAAAGTGGCAACAATCACCAATGAAACACCAACTGCACAGCACAGATATTGCCTTCTCCCTAAAGGATAACAGTGAAAATGCCAGGCTGATCTCCACTGAGAGGGAGCTCCATGTTCAGAATGCCACCCAGTAAGGAACCCAGTAAGGTGAGTGCATTTATGAGAAGAACCTCCAGCAATCATTGTAGCTGTCTGACAGATTCCTATGGGATGAGGCAGATTTTCAAACAATTTAGGCCTGAGCAATGTTTCCACTCAAGCCTTCCCCAGTCTTTAAAATAGGGATACAGAATCTCAGGCCTGCAGACTAAATTCAGCTGTCTGTATTCCCAATCTGTCCTGCTGGAGTTCTCT